GTAATGTATCATACCTGAACAAAACAAGTCCAGTAGTTACTATAGTATTGTAAGAGCTGGAGTTTATTGGAAGTGCTACATAACGCACATGTGAGGCCGATATAACATCCTTTACTTTTTCTCTGAGAAATATCGTAATATCTTCTATAAGAATCGATGCGTACAATATGTCTTTTCTCACTTCAAACCTGGTTGCTAGAATAACATTATCAAACAATACAATAGGTATGGCATATTCATAAGGTACAACTACTATTGCTACCAATTGAGTGACCATTACGGGTGTGATAGAAAATAAAGTATAGAACTTATTTTTGTCTACAATTCTATCACCAGGCATGTGTGACAGAGCTGTTGTACTGTATTCATGGATAATTCGAATAGTAAATTTGGCCTTAGTTGCAGGATTTTCCCAATATGGAAATATCCATTCTGCAGGAATACGAGGTAAAATCAAATACCTATAGAATAAAAAAATTGATGTTCTAAAAAACTTATTACTTATAAAAATTTATAAATCTTATTACATCAAAATGAAAGAAAGAATAATTACTGATTAACATTTTTTTCACGTACGTTTCTTTTTTAGTTTGATCTACATATGAAAAAATCATTGCAACTTTCTTTAAATTACAATTATATTTTCTATGTATCCGATATATTCCACGATGGAGATTAATTTTCTGTACTTCAGTTGTAGAGTTATTTTGATACAGATTTCTGAGGCTGATATCCATAAATCGATCTTTTGTAAAAAGTGTTGAATATGACCAATACGTATTCTTATCATAGACAATATCAGTATCGATAAAAAGAACGTATTCATCGTTACAATAACGTCCCAAATATATTCTTATATCTTGCTGTACACATGAAATATTCAGTTCGACACGAGAATCAACATAGAGAGAATTGTTTTGTACGTTTGGAGTAATATCTATAATATATTGTATCGGTTTTACACATGTAGAATCACGAGACACAAGGTCGTCAGTGGTAGAAGTAATTTCGTTGACAAATAGAAAGTATATAAGTCCGAAGAATGTCAGTGTCTGCAAAGTTTGTATATATAAAACTATATTATATTGTAGACAAAACACTTTGAAGCAAATAAAAGCACAAGTATAAGACAAAAAGTTATTAGTTAAAAAGTAAAAAATATAAGCTTATTTAAATACATAACTGACATCTGTAGATGTATGTACTTGTATGTTGTGCGTATAATTTTCAATATAACAATTTAGATCTTTATGAGATGAATAACTAAAATATGATTGTACGTTTTTTCAATATTCTACGATGTTTATAGTTCTATCACACATATCTACCAAAACAGTAATATTTTCTTATCTTTTTCAATCTGATATACACTCAAGGAGACAAATACGAAACCAAAAGTATAAATTGTGTAATACATATTTTTTACAAAATTTGACTCACAACTTTAAGGTAAAGAAACTTTTATAGTTCTTTGTTTTATACTTTTATAACTTTTTAACTTTCAAATGTTACAATGTGCACGACAACATTAATGAAAAATTACTATTGTATCGTAAAACAATATATTATTTATCATATTATACTATATCATATAAACATATTAGGACTTTAAATTTGATTATTTCTATTTCTGTTTCTATTTTACGATAACAGTAGAATACGCTTTTGAGATAATACATCTATACCCGACATTTCATATTCCGAGTTTTATATAACATACGCTTAGAAACAGAATCTTTATTTCATAGCAATTTACTTTATCATCATATACACGAAAAACGTATTATCTTACCATTTTCTGCAAATTGATATCCAACGCATTAAATTAAAATTCTTACAGAAAATACTGCACACTGGTACTACAAGCTCTAAAGCGTATCGCGTATGCGTATGTATGCCGAATCTTGCCGTGTCGAGAAATCATCGATAACTAAGGAGCAGACGTTCGCTCTGAAATAATAAATATATACCACGATGTAAACTTGTGAGAGTTGGGAAGGAGAACGACCTTACGGTTGTATCTTACATATATACATGATGATAGAAATATTGTATTTGAAATGTCTGTTACCAATTTTATGTACAAAGGTACTCTTTTATGTACAAAATGTTTTATATAAGATATTTGTTTATTCTTTAAATTTATATTTGAAATCTGTAAAAAAACTCACAATAAGTTTTGAACTTTTAAGTGTAATATTGTTACTTTCACGTGTAAATTTTAAAACTTTTATGGTAAGAAAAAGCAACGAATTACTAAAACTTACATGTGGACATTAAAGATATGAGTGATGTAAATTTGATTAATGTAACATTATAACATAGTCAACATTGTATATACGTTTATACAGAGTGTACAGCACTAGCCATACACTCGTTCGGACAAGTAAGAAAGGAGGATAATGATTCAAAATGTTTTAACACTGCGAGATTCGCAATAACTACCAAGATGTGTAGTACTTAAAGTAATAAAAATTTGAAAATGACTAAACGCGTGTATCTGCGTAAGACTGCGGTTTGCGTGTTTATAGTTGCTAAGCGCGCGACATGTCAATGGGAAGAATAAATATAAAAATACCATTTTTACATAAAATAATAGATATTATTGTACATAAAATCCACTAACTACCGACAATTAAAGGCCATTGTATTACGTAAAAAAGGTTTTGTACCAACTGTAAACTTAAAAGCGATTCTTCTACACATTTTACGATTACGACTAGAATTGTGTCACGTGCAATACTCTTAAATGCAAAAGCATAATTTTTATATTATATACTGCTTTATCGCAGATCTTTATTGTTTAAAATTTTTTTGCGAATAGATTGATTATTTAGAAACAAATACTATATTTTGCGACAACTCTTTTTATATAAAGTTACTTGTGAATAGTTCGTATTACTATAAACTACAAAATTTACAAAACTAACAAACAAAAGCTATTTTTGCAACTTTACTTTTATTTTATTAAGTAACTTTTTTTAATTTATTAAGTAACTCTTAAAAAATATCTCCATAGAAACATACAAAATAAAAAGAATATAATACATTTAAACATAAAACTATAACTAACTTATCATTTACAGTTTAAAAAGTACATAAATAAAAGTGCCATATTACGACACACATGTATATCTTGTCAGATACAGATTGTTTCTATTTTTTCTTTACATCTCAGTTTTATACTTTATCATCGTGTTTTTCATATAGTCTATGATGAATATATTTTTATATATTAATATAAAAATATATACATAATATATACATTTATTTCTGTGGAGTTGATTATACTTAAATTTATACATATTAACAGTTGTGTAAAATAAAATACAATAGATTATTGTTAGTTAGCTTACTAAAGACTCAACTTTATTTTATGACTACTTAGCAAATTAGTAAATGTATTAAAATCCGGAGTCTATACTTTCGATTTTAAACATACTTAATAAGTACTTGTTGGTGTCATAAAACAAATTGAGGCTTCTTATACAACAGTTGATCTACTATTAAACAAAACATATGAATATTGTTTTTAATTTACGTAAAACAGCATACCACTATACAAAAAAAATCTTATACGTAGGATTTAAATAATTCGTGCGGTTTGTGACGCATGGCACTACTTATTTTATTTAAAAACGTACGACGATTCTCAGCTTTCTTCATGATGATGTCAAGCATGAATCTTGCCTAAAAAAAATAAAATACAGTTATCATAACATTTTATGGCATAGTTTTGCAAGTCAGAAAATTCTGTAAAATACAGTTTTGTAAAAGAAACGAAAATACACTCAAAAGAAATCCAGTTTATGTATCAGAAATAAAATAAACAAAAATTTGTTAAAACAAGTATAAATCATTGCACTAATGCAAAACAAACTATTTTAAACACTTATATTTTTATATTTATATAATAACTTTTACCTTCTCTATATTATATATGTCGATCAGGTTATTATAAAGCAGTCCTACAGAAATCTAAAAACAATTTTTGTTAGTAACACTGAACTTGATGACATATATTGCGCAGAATTTTTATACATTACGTATATTGTTTTAATATGCTACACAAAACTACATATATAAACCTTATTATTATACTTATAATACACACATGTGTTTTTAAATATACACATATATGTTTTACTTCAAAGCAACAATAAACGATAAAAGTCACATATTATACCTTTTTAAGATTTTCCTCTGAATACGTGTTATTAATAATAAAAGTGACAACTGCAAGTAGATTGTCTCTATAAAAAAGACCACAAATAATAGATACTTAGTGCAAGAAAGTTTTATGTACATACCAAATATTTTCACACATGATATGATAAAACAATGTATCAAATAAATCACTTTACATAAATATACCAAAACTATATAAAATAAACTATATAAAATATATTTATCTGTACAGTATAAAAAAATATAAACAGTTTTATATACAAAACATCGTTACCTTGCAACATTGTTTATTCTGCTTATTATACTCTTAAAGAATTTAACATCTTTTGAATATTTTACTACACTGTCGAATAAAACATTAAGAGACATTTTTGTGTCTTCAACTTCAATTTTACGTGAAGTTTGCAAACTATTATGTCCAAAACACGGTAACAATTCAAAAAGTTTTTCTTGTTTTCTATGGGTTGAATATATCTTCTCTATGTTTTGCCACAAATCGGATGTATCAAACGTACCATTTTCTAAAATTAAACTTTGGCAGTAAATCCATTTCTGCCAACTTGGCAAAAGTCTACAATTCAAAAACATAATTGTATATAAATATATGTATACATAAAACTATAATTTATAATATAAATAGTTTATGTTAGTACATATGTAATTATTTTGTAGTTAAGTTTCTTTACAAAATAATTTACTTGCAAGTTTTTACTTTTCTTACAATATTATAATACTGCATCAAGACTCACGTCACAATTATTCAATATACAATATAATACTTTATTAGCAAAAGAACAAAGCAGAAAGACGTACTTGTTTTTTACAGAATTTTCTAAATGCCACTTTAATATAGCATTAACATGTTCTTTGCATTTTACACCATCGAGAATACACGTCCATTTTACAACTTCATAATATATCTGATTACTGATACTATTTTCAGAAAAGTTTTTATGTGATGTATCCTCAAGAAAGATATTCAATAGTTTAAGGATTTTAGTCTGAAAAAGTGAAAAATATACTTTTATAGTATATTTTATGATATATTTAAAATTCTTCAGTTTATTTAGCAGTTTTTTGTTTAGTACTATTTATGGACAATTTATTTTTTTTTATTTAATAAGTGTTACGTTTCAATAATACTGTTTATACATATGTATATGCGCAAATTTTTTCACTTTTTTCGGTTTTAAAAAAACACATTTATAATATACAAAGTGAAAACAAAAGTACCGAAGCATCTCTGAATATCTCAAAAAGTATAAATTTTCAAAACAAAAATGTATTTCAGACAAAAGTAATATAGGGGGGTTAAAAAGATCTTTATTGATTGTATTACTGTGATCTTAAATTGCGCCGCCAAGTTCAAAACAAGGTTACATCGATTTGATAAAATAAAACTTCCTAGTTTTTACTGCAGATTCGTATAGCCTAACTTAATAGCTTTTTCAACCACTATATTAAAGTTTATTTTTATCAAATACGTTTTGACTTGTAAGGGATGAATATTAGAATATTGCCGGTATTATCATTACGGTGTCACCTTCCTACGTATAATTACATCAGTGTCACATACCGAATTTTCAGTTTATTGCATAGTGACATTTAGAAAGTAATGTTTTTTATGGTCACCAAATATTTAAAACAAATATTCATACGTAAGGTAAAACTTTAAAACCGACAGATCCCTTAGCTAGGAAAACTATATGAAGCTTTAGACTTTTCAACTGCTCTCTTCTAAACTTTGTGTTTTGGAGTTACAGAATTCTACGTAGGGAGTAATGATGTATTGGCGTTAGCATTCAGTTCAAATGTTGATTTATCCAAACAAAACTGTGTTGAATAAAAAGGTAGGTTTTTTGTCATTTCTCTCTATCATGAAAATCACAAAATACGTTTTGCTTAAACTCATTTTTGTAGAAAAAGTACCGGCAGTACTCTACTATTCAACTCTTATAAGTTTAAAAGTACTTAAAGAAAATAAACTTTTTTATAGCGGTTTAGAAAGCTCTTGAGTTAGAATATAAGAATCTGCAATAACATCTAGGAAAGTCTATTTTAAAAAATCGATGTAACCTTGACCTGACTTTTGCGGCGCAATCCAAAGTCACAGTATAATACAATTAATAAATAGATCTTTTTAACCTTAAATTATACTACGTTTGTCTGAAACACTTTTCTATAAAACTTATATTTTCTGAGATACTCAGGTGTTCCAATACTTTTTTACAATCTGTATATTTAAATGCAAAGTAACAAACATGTACTATTTTCTTCAATTTATACCAATTACTTATTACATATTTGCAATGTGCAAGTTTTTTTTTTTTAATTACTTATACTGTAATGCTCTGTTAGTTGTTTTGTATGTTTACGACTTTCTGTTTATTGTTTATGCATTAGTTTTAATGTATTGTTTTGTTTATGTGGACGAGTTAAAAAAAATAAATGCAGAAAAACGTTTAGTATAAAATGTCTTAAAAAAAAATCTCACTGATGTTTTTTATTATTTCGTCGTTGGTTTTTTGGCTTTTCAATTATATATTTGTTGTAATGCATTGTAGTGATATTTACCTTAATAGATGCACTTTCTGGATACGGAAAAATCTTTGATATATACTGAAGAGCAGTAAGTACAGGATACCACGTTATGTACGAATTTCTCATGTGAACTATATTGCTAGCAAGATTGAAAAATATGTCTATAGTAGTACTTTTTGCAGCAAGATGAACGTTATACTTTGTATTTTGCAGTAAAAAATAAAAAGCATCGTCGAGAATGTGTGCTAAAGTGACGTCAGATAATTTGTTTACATTTAAAATCTCAGGTTTTTCACTTTCCAGAAAAAGAGCAATATTTTCCAACATTTTATGATCATAGTTGACGCGATATCCTACAACAATTATACATAAATGTTTATTTAAATAAACAGAAAAACAAAGAGCGTTACTAATAAAAAAATTGTTAATAAACCGCTTAAATATACTATATACAAAATAAATAGAATAAAAAATTCACCGTATCTTTGTTTTTGTATTACCATCGTGCGCCGTGATTATGATAAAATCATCTGCTTCAATATTTCCTAAAAATATTCTTTTTCCGTCTGGTTTTAAGAACACATAATTATTACTAGACGCATTTTTTGATATTTTGACATAAATTACAGGTATCCACCACTTATATGCACACAAGTTCTTTTGTTTAACCGCAACACAATCTTGAACCTTAAGTTCTAGAAATTGTGAATTATGTTCACGGTTTACTTGTACCACAGGATACCCATCATGTGTTATCCACGAAGTTATTACATTTGTTATATTTGTATTCTTTAAATAATTGTTTTCATTTATGGTCGGCACAAACATAAACTTGTTCAATATATTTTCGAGAACAGACTGGCCATTATATGTCTCATTTGATGTACTACTATTAATGACAACAAACAAAACAAACAATACATCGGTGTTAATTGTCTTAAATATTATGAAATAAATATTTTAAGATTTCTACATGTTATGTATAAAATACTGTTTAATCCTAAACTTTCTTACTTTTTATGATCACTGGTATAATACTCTAAACTTTAATACTCACGTGTTATATGCAGTTATCGCTTTCCCGAAAATAGTGTTATATAAAACATCTTGATTACGGAATAAATTTTTCATCATATAGAAAATAATGAATGCTAAAACAAAATTTTGAATGTGTAAAAAGTATCAAAGAATAATCACAATAATATACGTATATTAATCTTTATAAATGCATATACTGATAACCGGATGACTGTATTTCAGAATTCGATGACGGTTCCGCAAAAATTATAGTGTATATTCTAATTGTTTATTTTTTCTTAACATATATAAACTAAGATTGTATACTATTATTCAATTTTATTGGTAAAGACTTGAGTAATTACAAATTAGAAATACCAGTTGTACTTACCTTTTTCTTTCCACATTTTATTAAAAGTTACGTTTTGAAGAAATGTATGTTTCTGCATTGGAAAATCATATTCACTAAATGCTTGTGTATATTCAAAAACTACCCGTCGTGCCTGGACCACAATCGACATCAGTAAAGTCTCATTGTAAATCTACCAAAAATTTTTATAAGTAACACATACGTCTAGTTTAGCTTCGTTATTTACTCTGAGAAAAGTTAATACCGTTTTATAGTTTTGTAGTACCAAGTCTTTTGTATCAAGTAATAGAAAAACTTTTAGTATAAGCATATTAGTATTAATACAATTTTTTAAAACTTTTATATATACTACAAACATTAATTAAAACAGAAGTATGACAGGGAAATTTATCACCAAACTTTCTGATAGCACTATTTAAGACATATTTTATTTTCTTTTCTACCGATCTGCATATATGTATTATTGTTTGTACGCACACATCGAAATTGAATTATTAAATATAAACTTTATACACTGTATAACTTTGTTTAAAAGAAATAAAAATAAAAAAATAAAACCAAGTTCAATTTGTATGAACTTACATTACTGTAAATATTTATGGTATATATACATATTAAATATTTATGGTATACATATATATACATATTAAATATTTCTGTTATATAAATATGGTATTAGAATACCATACATTTTAATTCTAAATATTTTGTAGTGAAAAAAAGCAACTGAATTACAAATGCACGTATTACCTGATCGAATAGATAAACTCCGTAAAATGTCGAAAAACCTTCAACAAACCAAGGATCAGACTCCTTAAATCCAACTAGCCAATTACTGAACATTTCTTGTATCACACTGCGTACAACCAAACATGTTACTTCTGTTTTTNTTATAATCGAATCTACTTCTTTATTATATGCAATGTCAGCGTCTNNNAACATAATATTGTTTTNAATGCAATTATGTCGTACAGCATGTGTATATTTGTTTGAAGCTANTTTTGTAATATTTTAAGTAATGTATCATACCTGAACAAAACAAGTCCAGTAGTTACTATAGTATTGTAAGAGCTGGAGTTTATTGGAAGTGCTACATAACGCACATGTGAGACCANTATGACATCCTTTACTTTTTCTCTCAGAAATATCGTAATATCCTCCATAAGAAACATGGCGTACAATATGTTGTTTCTCACTTCTAATCTACTTTCCATAGTAAATTTATCGAACATTAAAATAGGTGCAGCACATTCATAAGGTATGACTACTGGTGCTACCAGTTGAGTGGACATTACGGGTGTGATAAGAAAAGAAGTATTGACCTTATTTCTTTCTAAAATTCTATCACCAGGCATGTGTGACAGAGCTGTTGTACCGTATTCATGGGTAATTCGAATAGTAAATTTAGCTTTAGTTGCAGGATTTTCCCAATATGGAAATATCCATTCAGCGGGAATACGAGGTAAAATCAAATATCTATAGAATAAAAAAATTGATGTTCTAAAGAACTTTTTACTAATAAAAATTTATAAATGTTATTTAATCAAAATGAAAGAAAGAATAACTGATTAACATTTTTTTCACCTACTTTTCTTTTTTAGTTTGATCTACATATGAAAAAATCATTGCAACTTTCTTTAAATTACAATTATATTTTCTATGTATCCGATAGATTCCACGTTGAAGATTTACTTTTTGTTGGTTACTTGTAGAATTCATTTGATACAGCTTTCTGAGGCTGATATCTATGAATCGATCTTCTGTAAAAGGTGTTGTGTATGACCAATACGTATAATTATTATAGACAATATCAGTACCGATGAAAACATCGGATTCAACGGTACAATAACGCCCGAAATATATTCTTATATCTTGCTGTACACATGAAATATTCAGTTCGACATAAGAATCAACATAGAGAGAATTGTTTTGTACGTTTGGAGTAATATCTATAATATATTGTATCGGTTTTACACATGTAGGATCACGAGACACAAGGTCGTCAGTGGTAGAAGTAAATTCATTGGCAAGTAGGTAATATATAAGTACGGAGAAGTTCAGCGCCTGCAAAGTTTGTATATATAAAACTATTGTATATATAAACTATATTATATTGTAGACAAAACACTTTGACGCAAATAAAAGCACAATAATAATATATTTATATTATAATTATTTATACTTTAAAAAGTTATTTGTTAAGAAGTAAAAAATATTGGCTTATTTAAATACATAACTGGCACCCGTAAATGTATGTAATTGTATGTTTTGCTTATAATGTTCAATATAACAATTGGGAAAGCTCATAAGATGATTAACTAAAATAGAATTGTACGTTTTTTCAATATTCTACGATATTTATATTTCTATCACACATAGCTACTAAAATATTTTTTATTTCTTATCTTTTCCAATCGGACATACACATAAGAAGACAAATACGAAACCGTAAGTACAAATTGTATATTACATATTTTCTACAAAATTAGACTCTCAACTTTAAGGTAGAGAAACTTTTATACTTTTTCGTTTTATAACTTTCATATTTACTTTTATAACTTTCAAACGCGTTTCAAATGTGCAAGACACCATTAATTAAAAGGTAATATTCTATCGTAAAGCAATATATTATTTATCATATCCTAAACATACTAGGATTTAAAATTCGATTATTTCTATTTCTGCTTCTATTTTACAATGACAGTAGAATACGCTTTTGAGATAATACATCTATACCCCGACATTTCATATTCTATGTTTTATATAATATACGGTTAGAAACAGAAGTTTCATTTCATAGCAATTTACTTTATCAACATGTACACGAAAAACGTACTATCTTACCATTTTCTGCAAATTGATATCCAACGCATTAAATTAAAANTCTTACAGAAAATACTGCACACTGGTACTACAAGCTCTAAANNGTATCGCGTATGCGTATNTATGCCGAATCTTGCCGTGTCGAGAAATCATCGATAACTAAGGAGCAGACGTTCGCTCTGAAATAATAAATACATACCACGATGTAAACGCATGTGTGTGGGGGGGGGGGGACGACTTACGGTCGTATCTTACGTATATACATAATGATAGAATTATTGTATTTAAACGTATGTGTGGGGGAAAACGATATCTTACTTAGGATGTACTGTCTATGTGTACATGTAGTGAAAGTAATGTTGTTTTCAAAACGTGTCTTTTCACAGCTCTGATTTTACAAATATAATTTCATATACAGTTTATTTTACTTAAGAAATACAGACTTAATATCCAATTAATTTGATCTCTAGTTTCTACAAAAAACAAAGTGAAATTCTTTGACTCTCCGCAACGTGTAGCTGCAAATCGCTAATGGAAAGAACAGCGTTTCGCAAATGGACTTGCACTTTTATGAAACATCGCGTTTTCTACCGAAGCCGCTGGTGACTGTTGTCCTGTGGCGGAAATGTTTATCCTACGAACCCGCGAGATTTGGAACGCTGCCATTTGCTCTACATACGTGAATTGCACCGTCAAGTAAGCGACAAGCGGACTCGTTCGCAGTTTGCAACGTGCCGTCGCGATTTACACCTAGATTGCATTACACGATCTCGAATGAGCTGGAATATAGTATTTTACACTCCCTTCTTTCACTTCGAACGACTCCGCCAAAGCGCAATAGAACGCGAGAATAAGATGTGCGACATGTCGGAATGCTTCACACCAAATGGATCTGATTTCTATATTGTAGAAAACTACATGTATATAGAACAATATTAAAGAGTATATATAAATAAATAAAAAATTATAATTTTATATTCATCAATGTGTATATTTATACATTAATACATCTCTGTACTAAACTTTTTATAGCACTTTTTTATACGAGATGTGCGAAATGTTCGAAGGTGTGACAATTAATGCGTAGATTTATTTTTAGTACACATTTATTTTTTATATTACAATAAAAATTCCTAAATAAACACGCTATGTAGTCATGTATTTCTAAGAAACAGTACGAAAACCTTATACATTGTATAAAAAAGTAATTATTTAATATCGATTTTCTCTCGGACATAATTTTGTGTGTACAATATATATTGTGAGAAGAGAGGAAAGTAGTAATAGAACAAATGCGACAGATGTCAGTCTCGGAAAATAAGTGACGAAGCGAACCGTGAGCAATAGTAACATTATCTATCATTTATATCATATTTTATCACCGAGTAACATAGTTTTTCAAGTTATGACAACTTAAAGTATCACAGTTGCGCGAAGTATACACATCACTCATACATTGAGCTGAATAAACTACCGATAGTGTTATCCGTTCCAAGCATCAAGACGTATACTTACTATAATAATATATAAAAAAAATATATATATATATATATATAACATGAAAAACTAACCGCAAGATATTATAAGCACGGCTGTCTATAACCCGATGTTACGACGCTTGCACCGTTAGTTTCTTTGGCTGAACGGATGTATCATTCCGTTCAAAGGAATGATTTGAGTACGCAAGATACAAGTACTTGGATCGTTCACTTCAATTTCAAGGATAAGCTTCGATTTTGAGATAAAACGGAAATGAATGAAATAACGCGAGATACCGCTCGCTTTTTTCGCCGTTTCATCGAAGTCGGCGAGCGATTAAATTGAAGGCAGAAAATTTCCAATAAAGAGTCACGTTTACTGAGTACCGAGAACAATTTCGTGACGGCGCGGGAAACAGTAACGGGTGAGGCTTGTCAGTTGTACATATAACGGGAACTATGTGATAGACAAAAAAAAAAAAAGCAGAGCCAATATTTGTGTAGTCGGATGCGTCGATGGTTGAAAGTATTGAAACAGCACAATGCCACAATCGCTTCGTTTATCGCGTGCAGCTCTCAGATGTCTTTTTTGATTATATAAAAATCACAGTTAATCGTATCGTATGTCGTACGGATATTGAACTAAATGTGTTGCATTAGTTTTTTTTTTTTTTTTTTTTTGAGATGCTTCTTGCAACGTAATGCGAAAATGCATTTACAATATTAACAATCACTTGTAACAATTTTAGATTCATTATACATGTGTTCGTTGTAACACGCAGACTGTATTATATTCAAAAAAATGTTTTAATAAGCCAAAGACTCGCATATTTATACATATTTTCCATTATTTTCGCATACACACGCTCTTCATTGCGAATATTTGATTCATTTCCATTCACTTTCGCATTAAAATAATCCTCCCATCCTTCCAACTTTTCTAATCGTACTTACATATGCGCCTGTACGTACATAATAACGTTTCATTTCAAAAATAGACGCGAATCGGAATATCGTAATTGATTGCGTTGCTATCGGATATGCGAATCAAGCAGACCATGTTAAATTGCGAACGATACGAAACCGTTTAATTAATGCCTACGCTGTACATTATTTACCGCAATTAAAATCATTAAATGCATTCTGCAAATTCATCCATTTATAACATCGAACACACGATAACCGTCCGTTACGTATCTCAATTACATACAACCTAGCCATTCAGTGTTCATTCGTAACACCATCGGAATGAGCAGTGTGTGTGCGTGAAGCAAATGTTAAAATTTAATGATAATTATTATTTTGCAAATAATCAAATATTTGGAAGTATGCGGCGGAGTGGGTGGCATATTCGTGCGTAAAGATTTAATGACGTTGTCAGACGTTGTGAGCGAACATAATATCGATACTCATGATCGATCGACTATGCTAGCAGATACGCCATTCTTTACGGAGAGGTCGATACGCGATGCTATACAAGAGAGAAAGAGAGAAAGGGAGAGAGAGAGAGAGAAGAAAAAGAAGAAAGGAATGGCGATGCTCGTAAACGAAGAGATTAAAGGCGTAACCTCGAAAGCAACGTCCCGGATACACGAGCGAAGTCAATAAATTTCTAATTTCCTACCAGTGCCACCGGTATACACATACCTGTCGTGAGCCGCGGTAAGCTTATGAATGGGAGAGATTAATATAAAAATCGGATTCCTCTCTTTCTCACTCACCCCCTCTCTCTTTCTCACTCACCTCCCTCTCTCTATCTCCCTCAGGACTGTATATCAGTGTATTATCCGCGATATGCGACGTCATTTTACACTTTATAACACGATGCCGCGATATTGTTTCCTCGCAGTAGCCACAGCCATTTTCCGCCGCAGCTTTTGCGGTCGGCAATCGTACGAGTAAAATTTCAGCAAAATCGCGAAACGCATTGTGGCAATCGTTCGGCTTTCGCACACACAAAAGCACTTCTATATCAAAGTGCGATAGAAGTAGGCTTTCGCGTGGTTTCCTCGAGAAGAAAATAAACGCAATATGTTATGAAATAAAATGAGATAAATACATACATTTTGTGCAAAACATTTATATACAAAAAAAAACATTTATAAAATATAGTGTAAAATTACTTGATGCTTAAAATAAATTCATTTGCTTCTATTAATTAATTTATTTTCATTATTTTCTTATAATAATTATGTTATTTACTTAAAATTTTTTGTACACAAAATCTCTGTTAAAATCTATAAAAATTAAAAAAGTAAAAAACTCTACTTCGGTTTTAGAACTACTGTAGAATTAATATTAACTTGTTTGATATTAATCGTGATATCGTTTAATCTTCGAAAATGTATCAGTTATGTATTGTGATTTGTGACTCGATAATTATAGCTGTGTGAGTAAACTTATAATTCCATTAATTTGTGTGAATTATCCTATTTTATAAAAATAATCAAAAAGTGATTGAACCTTTAATCAAAATTGATGTGTTCTATTTCTATGATAAAATCGAATCTTTGTATCTCTCGGAAAATTGATTCTGCGCGTGTCATTACTTAAACTGATATCTGTTTTAAACAGGTATACTGATCTTTAACAGATAGTTACGCAAATAGTTACGATTTTATATTTCGTGCTAATATATCTTCTTGTAAACTAGAAACTCCTAGCGCGACGAAAAGATGAATTGATAAATTTTACTTATGAAAAAGCCGAAAATATTTATCGATTTATTTTAAGGTATGTATATATATGTATATACATATAATATATATATATTTAATATGCGATGGCTATGGCACAGAATAATATTTTGTGGAAAAAGAACTACTTATACATAAGTGTGATGCGGAAAAAGAATTACTTATACACATATATAGGTTGAATGCATGAAATCGAGCGCGAATTATTTTATCTCGAGTTTGATATATGTCCCGATCACGGCTAAACGTTAATTAGATTAAAACGCGTTTCAAAAGTGAGTAATTGTGAAATTATTTATTTGCCATTGCTTTCGTTAAATTATGTATACTATACCGCTTTCATATATATTTAATTGATGCATTGTAGCTATAAAATTTCCATGGAAACAAGGTCGAATGAAATCAATTCGGTCGACGAGCAACGAATATAATATGTACACATGTTGATTATTAAATATCTCCGCGACAGTTGCTTTCGATCGATTCGATATATGTATAGATATTTTCTTTACGTGAACATATATAATATAATAACATGATTTCTATGTTTATCGCGCAAATATTCAAGAAGAACGTCAGTTTTTTGTTATATTAAAAAGATCACTTCTATCTTATTCATAATTTTTAAAAACTTGCAAAAAAAACACACTTTTAAGTAACAGAACTGAAGTTTCTTCGTCGTTTAAAGAATTAATTGCGGTATCTCAACAATAAGGTCAGCTACATAGTCAGACGTACTTTTATTACGGCAGTCAGATATCGATTTCTCAACAATTATCTCATATATAGCTTCCCGCTCAATTGATTGCAACAGAGACCTTCATCCATATTAATACAAAAGCCACGTTGTGTCGACCGATAATTGATTTTTCGGATAATCGGCGAACCGCATTCTTCGCTGTATTTGATAACATATA